TAAGATTTGAACGGGAATTTTGGGTTTTTTATTCAAGTTCTGAGACTATGAATTTCTTAACCCATGATTTCTTAAGCATTTCGCAGGGTGTAGCATCAGGGGCACAGAGAGACTTTGCGCGCCACGGAGTCAGTGAGTCTGAGTGTGGAGCGCAACGACATGCAGCATCGGAGCCCTGAGACACATCGCAAATTATGACGGAGGAGAGGGGGGGACATTATGTCTGTCTGTGCCGATGCATGCGCGACGTGATGCCGAGTGCGGCGCACCATGATGCCGACGGGCAGTCAACAGCCCCCGCGCCTGTGACGCTGAGTGTGGGCGCAGTCGCCACCGATACCTTTTTTGGGGTGACTTTAGAAACCTTTGCCGTTTCACGTATCCCCGCCAGCTCATCCAACAACTGACGCCAGTCGAGTTGCCCTGATCACGGCTGAACAACAGCCGGCGGCCCGGTAGTGAACCGCATCCGCCCGTCACCGTGGGAGCGCCTGGGAGGCGTCGTGGGGCCATTTGGGAGACCTGTTTGCCCCCCTCGGGTCTTCTCTTGGGGCCTTTGTACGGCGCTCTTAAGGCCATCTTGGGTCCCTATGTGGGTCCCTATCGGGGCCGTCGTGGGCCATCTTGGAACCGTCTTGTGGCCTTCGGAGCTTATTGGAAGCGAAACAGCGAGAAGTCAACACATTGACATACAAGGATTTTGCAACAAGTGGCGTTTTGGGGGCCTCCGTGGGAGGCTCAGAGGGAATTTTGATCGGAGGTGAGGGGGTGAGATCGAAGTGGAACGGAGAGCCCCCCTACCGGGAAATCGATTTCGGTTTCGTGTTCGTGCGTGCCGTGCGTGCGGGCGAGGCGAAGCTGCGTGGGCGGGCGAGGAGAAAGTCTCCTGTGGCTGAGGCGCGGCCGGACCAAATGATTCTCCGCCGGGCGGCCGGTGGCGCGCGGTGTCCCGCCGGTGTCCCGCCGGTGTCCCGTATGGCTGAGGCGCGGCCGGACCAAATGTCTCCCTTCCGGGCGGCCGGTGGCCCGCGGTGTCCCGCCGGTGTCCCGCGGTGTCCCGCGGTGTCCCGCGGTGCCCCGCGGTGTCCCGCCGGTGTCCCGCGGTGTCCCGCGATGATGATGATGATGATCATGATGATGATGATGATGATGATGATGATGATGATGATGATGATGATGATGATTGATGATGATGATGATGATGATGATGATGATGATGGTGATGGTGATGGTGATGGTGATGGTGATGCAGACTTGGAAGCTGCTGATGAAATGCTGATGCTGATGTTGAAGCCTGCGGATGATGATGATGATGAATGATGATGGGATGGTGATGCTGATGATGAAGCTGATGAGAAGACGATGATGATGATGATGAGGATGAACGATGATGACGATGATGATGATGATGATTATGTGATGATGATGAATTATGAAGATGATGAGATGATGATGAATGATGATGATGATATGATGATGATGATGATGATGATGATGATGATGATGATGACGATGATGATGATGATGATGATGATGATGATGATGATGATGATGATGATGATGATGATGATGATGATGATGATGATCGAGTGAGATCGAGTGTGAGATAGATCGAGTGAGATCGGTTGTGCGATCGATTGTGAGATCGATCGAGGGAGATCGATCGAGCGAGACCGATACTGAGATCGATAGTGAGATCGATAGTGAGACCGAACGAGTGAGACGTTGGTTCCTCCCCCCCCCGAACCTCCTTATCACCCGAAGGGTGGTCGTATATAGGTGTGCTGCGGAGCGGCCGTATGGCCTTTTGGAGGCATGGTGACAACTTTTTTGAACGATGTTGGGATATTTTTGGCGGCCTTGGAGGCCATCTTGGGCCCGTGGGCCATCTTGCAGCCATCTTGGTCCATCTCGGACGGCCCCCCCCCCTCTCGCTAAACGCCCCTTCTAGAACCCGGGTGGCAGGGGGTATGGGGGAGGCGGAGTCCCCTTTCCAAAGGGGAGGAATAGGGGGCTGGCAGAACGAACCCCTCAGGCCGCTCACGCCCAGAGGGCGGGTGGGGTTGGCCTCGCCGTCCGCACCCACTTTGACACGCGTCGGACTTGCGCGTGCGCGGTGGCGATCGCTTTTTGGTGCCCGTTTCAAGCAGGTGGGGCCTCCTCCCCCGTGGGACGCACTGCTGCAGATAGTCGCACTCAGCAGAGGTCCGGAGCCAGACCCCCCCTCGAAACGCCGTATAAAAACAAAACGTTCCCGTGTTTCGGAGGGCCACTTTCGCTGATACGACCTTTCGCCCGTAGTTCCATGCCGCTTTTGGCTGAGGGCACAGGCGGCGGCGCCGGCGGCGACGGTGGCGCGCCGCCAGGAGGAGGAGGAGGAGGAGGAGGAGGAAGAGGAGGAGGAGGAAGAGGAGAAGAGGAGGAGGAGGAGGAGGAGGAGGAGGAGGAGGAGGAAGAGGAGGATGCTGATGATGCTGATGATGATGATGGTAATGATGAT